GGCCCTTGTGCAAAAAATATTTTATACCGGAAAAAGGTGTACGTTGCTCATTGAATTGTTGCACCAATACAGCTTTCAAAAGCAAAATCAGTTTCTCCAAGGTTATCTATCATAAAAATCTTGTAATGGCTAAAAACAGTGAAGTAACATTTTGGAAAAATCTTTTCACAGTCAGTTTAACTGGCGCAAGACATGATTTAGCAGCTAATATTGCATCGAACTCCCTATCAATTACCTCAACCTTGGACTCAAGGTCAATCAGTGACTCGCGAATGCAATTTTTCAATTTTAAAAAACGTTCGAGCATTGTGTGCAAGCTATTCCAGCGAGTTTTGGAGCCAAGTATCAGTGGAGGGCCTTTACCAAACTTTTCTAATTTTTTGTCGGAGAACGGCAAAACAATTTCACAACGGTGCGAACCTTTATCACTAACGACTGCCACTCATGAGTCAGTTCAATAAAGTCATTCTCTTCACTCATTATAATTGAAACCCGCTGGAAAAATCTTTATCATTATCCTTATCCCTTTCACTGCTCTTGTTGTAATTGCAGATTACTTTCAATTTTTCTTTTGCAGAAGTTGACGGGTTTTTTTACAAAACATGGCATTTAACTTGGTGTCTTCAACACCTAGTTAAATGCCATGCCTAATGCACAACTGTTGATCACAGTTACCCAAACGCCCCACTTTCTGCATTACGGAAACTCCATTAGTAGTATCACTTATAATGTCTACATCGCAGTTCAACAGAAACTTTCAACAATTTTTGAACTAAATCAATGTATTTTTTAGCAGGAGGCGAACCAACAACTCAAGCTAATCCAAGGGTCCAAAATGAAGGGTGTTTTATCAAGAAAAAACTGATGATAACGAAATGTTGCGTTGATTTTGTAAGAAATCAGTGATTAGAAGTTTGAAATTTTTGACCGTTGGTAACGATACCAATGAAAACAAAACCGATCACGATGCTGCATCTTGGGACAATTTCCTGTTCAGCAAGTCAATTTCATATTTAGTTTATAGATGTGTATGCAGCACGCTGGTACTTCCACCATTTAATTTTGTTTGTTTGTTGCACCTCTTACATTTGCATTAATTTTCATTATCTCCTAGAAAATAAAATCACGCAGAATTTTCATCAACTCGTTCGGTGCTGAATGGTTTGAATACTTTTTGAGACATTTTATGTTTTTCTGGATATTAAGGTATCTATCTATTAGACATAAAATATTGGTTTTTAGTTCTGACAATTGTTAGTACATAGCATACCATTGGCAAGTTACACCATAAAAAACGATTAATAATCTATCACCTTGATGTTTTTGCAAAATTAAAAATATTCTCAATTGTAACGACTTCAAACTTTTCTTATTCACGTCAGTGTAAAACTCAAACATGCGTTCTACATTAAAACGAGTGACACAATGATAATATTTTAAATCAGTGCTTTATTAATAGAAGAAATACAAAATTTTACTTTTAAATTAAACAAGTTTTTTTTTTAACTAAATAATTTTAACAATATTTTTTTTATAAAAACTCAATTATTTTCTGCACCCCAAATTCTTTAGCGAGCGTGATTTTATACTCTCATTATCCATCGAATACTAATACTGAAAATATAATAAATATAGCGAATAGAATATAGCAGCAAATTGTAGCTACATAGCTAGTTTCTACTTATGGGTAAAAGTCGCGTTTAAAACGTGTAAAATACGCAGTTTTACCTGCTTTAAACGTTTTTAACACGTGTTTTGTCATCTAACTATCTTTTCCCACCGGGTGTGTTGTTTATCGCAACTGGAATTTTTAAATATATCATTTATTTTCATATTTCACGTTAAGAGGGCGATCCCATTTACTAATCACAAGCCCTGTACATATATTTTTAACACCGGTATGGAACCAAACTAATATCGGTAATTTGGCACTTGAAAAAGTCCGGTAATACCAGTATTCCGGTATCAGTACTACTGGTTTTGAAAACAGTAGTCACATTATAAAACAATATTATACAATTGAAAATGTATTTTATAATATATACGATTCGGTGAATGTTAAAAGGGCAAAAGTCCAACCAAAAAAACTTTCGAGAAACTAAAAAAAACTGCATTTTTCCCCGTAGTAAATTTTTGTTAATGGCTCAATAATAATTTTTTTGAAGGCGAAAAACATAATCCTCTTAAAAAAACTTCCATTTTCAAAAAAAATCCATTATTGGACTTCCATCCTTTTAACATTCACCGATTCATAAGTTTCGCTGTTCATAGAAAAATATATAATATATAAAAAAAAATATATAATATATAAAAAAAAGAATTTATATATGACTAGAGCTCACGAATTTTTTAATAGAGCCCCATGTGGATTTTTAACAAGTTTAAGTTAAAACAAAGATGATATTAAGATTTTATAAAACATTGTTAAAATATAAAGAAATATTTAAAAAAGTTCTTCGTTTTTAAAAAACTTTAAAAAAGTTTGATTCTTAATGAGTGAAAAAGATTGTTTGTACTACTATGTGTAAATCAGTAAGAGCATATATAATTGGGTGTTTATTTGCACTATTATTTATTTTATTTGTTTAAAACAAATAACTATTATGTTTACAATATACAAATAAAAATAGGATGTATAAGTAGTCTACTTTGGTATTTAGTCTTTAGATTATTACAAAGTGACTTGACTTTACAAGTTTTTTATGAAGCCAAGTTGGGGATGTCATCATCGTAATTCCCTTTTTTTGCTACGAGAAATGATGCAGTTATTAAAATATTCTCAAAAATCTGAAGCAATAATTTTTGGTAAGTGCTTAAATATATCAAAAACTCTAATTTTAATAGAAAAACCTAGTAAGCACAATTATAAAGGAAAGCCAGCAACATGCCAAGGCCAGTTAATAAAAAGCTTTGATTGACAAAAAAAAAAAAAAAAATCAGGTTAAAATATTTTTGGAAGCGGCTCTGAGCTGGCAATAACTATTATTAATAGATTACAAATTAATATAATGCATAACCTAAGCTTATTTTGGAAACTTTTTTTTCTATTTACTTTTACTTTTTTATTATAACCTGATCTTAGTTTATAATAATTTTTTTATTTATTTCTTATTATGAGTATTAATGATTTTAATTGTATTTATAGAGAACAATGAAGTGAAAAAAAAAAACAATCAAAAATGACATTTACAGTAAATATGGACATGTGAAATATAAATAAAAACGTTCACCTAATCACGAACAAAATGGTTTATTCAATTATGTTCTAATAAGAAATAATTTATTCACTTATATTCTGTTAAAAAATTAATGATATAGTAAAATGGCGAACGCCAAATAAAAGAATAAAAAAACTATATTATTAAGTTTTATCATTTTTTATTTAAATGTCATACATAAGAGTTTTATTAGAATATATAAAGAAAAAAAGTAGAATGTTTTTTATTTAAAATCTTTCACCAAAAATACTTATTCAGTCGGTTTGTGGGTTATTCAATAGCGAAGAAAAAATTCATTTGTCGCCTTAGCATGACCAATGGCGTCATTAATACAAGGTGTTGTTCCTAAATTACTTTCAATTTGATATAACTATAAAATACTTTATTTTATATTTTTAAAAAGATGGCATTGATAGAAACTCGTTCAAAAATTAGGCTGTGTTTAAAGATTCGTCGTAGTTATATTTATATAAACAGTAAGGAGCAAAGGGAAAGAGATAAAAAATTTTTAAACTTGTTTATTGAATAGAAAACATAATTTTGCATGCTAATGTAACTTTTTTTAAACTTTATTTTTTTTTTTTAACTTTATTTAAAAACCATTGCTCAATAATTTGTAGCTTATTAGTTGTATGAATTAACGTTATCTTTATAATAAATTCAGCATAAATACAATATAAAGTATTAGTTTTTATTTCATTATTGTTATATAACAAATTGTTTTAAGCAAAAAAAAATCGTTTAGAAAGTGAATGACTCCAAGGGCGGATCCATTTTTTGGAGTTTTAGCTATTTCACACACTAAATTTCACACCCTGCGCCTAAATGTGTAGGCAACAAGTTGAAAATTATTTTTTGCTTTTCTCAACTAAGTTTAGAATTATCGATTAATTTCAAATTTATTATTATAATCACTTAACATAGTAAAATTATGACAATATAGATTTGCAACCACTTTAAACTAAGGGGGTTAAATTTTTACAAGGTCATAATTTTTGAACGCTAAGAGGTTATGCTATGAAATTGAAAATTATTCGATGAAAATAAGTTTAGTTGAGAACTGTCAAAAAAGTAATTTATTAGCTTGATGCTTTCACGCCACAAAAAGGAGGAATAATGGGAGGAGGGAGGGGGGGGGGGGGAGGAGAGGAGGGAGTAAAGAAAGATGAAGAGGGGAATTTTAATATTGCAATTTTTTGCAAAGCATCTTTATTTGACATAAGTACAATCATATAAATGTTTGGAGTTTGCTCTCTGACTAAAAGAAAGCTCAATTTACAAAAAATCCACCCCTGAATGATACTTATTCATATTAAAAAGAGTCGATGATTAGTTAAAACTCGCCAGTAAAAGGTGTGCAACTAAAAAAAAATAATTTAAAATGCAACTTAGTGTGCAACTAAAAAAAAATAATTTAAAATGCAACTTAGTGTGCAACTGAAAAAAATGATTTAAAAAGTAATCCCAAAAAAAAAACTTAAACAGAAAAAAAAAACCTATTAAAAAATCTTTTTTCAAAATGTTCATTTTTCTAGGAAAAACTTCATCTGTGAAAGAAACCAAATTATGTGAGTAAATTTTTTGATTTAAAGTTTTTAGAAAAATTAGTAGCAACATTCAGACGGAAGAAGAAGAAGAAGAAGAAGAAGAAGGAAATCAGAAGCAGGTTTAATCTGACCAACATAATCTAGAATGACATTTAATTCTTATTAAACATTTTACTTTCATAAACCATTATTTAAAAAAAAAATTATATATTATTTACATAAAAAAAAAACTTACTTTGGTTAAGAAGGATATCTGACCTCTTAAAGTAATGCACAAAATGTAAGGTTTTTTTTAAAAAAAAAAAAAAAAAATGGTTTTAACTTGTTATTCGAGTTATCAAAGGTTCTATTTTAGGATCAGTTTTGTTCATTTTTTACATTAATGATTTATATTTATCATCAATAAATCTTATCTTTCTAAACTTTTTAATTTTGATTACAATAATAAAATCATTTATGAAAATAGATTACAAGAAGACAAGTTAAAAAAATAAGTTTTACACCGTACCATTATATAAATAAAGCAAAATAAACTCCTAGAAACATCTTAGGTTATAATCAATAAAATAACGATTAAAAGATAACTTGTAAGATTTTAAAAATTCAAATAAATTTCTATAAATAATTATTCGTATTCAAAATATTTTGTTTAAAACCTTAATTGCTATAAATTGCAAAAATTTTCGTTATATTTGCATAGGTTATATTTGCATAAGTTATATTCACATAGGTTATATTTGCATAGGTTATATTTGCACTATATAGATTATTTTATAATTTATAAAATCAAATATTAAAATTAGTTAAAATTTTAAACGAAATAGAAAGGGTAATAAATTCTCTTGCTTTCCTTTCAGTTAACTAAATTCTTTAGTTTTCAGGGCCGACAAAACCGGGGGAGGTGGGGCAGAGTGGGCACTAACCCACCACCTTTACTAAAGAACCTTTTTTTTTTTTTTAAAGTTTCTAGATTTAGAGGACTTTTTTTTTGAACTTGAGGATTATGTTCCTTTACTTTGAAATCCATCTTGTCGGCCCTGGTTTTATTGCTAAAACTGGCTAAAAAGTTTGTCGGCAAATCTTTGTATAATAAAACTAGGGAAAAATACTAGGGAAAGAAGAAACAAACTTGTATTACAAAAGGTAACTAAAGGAAACAAACTGATACTGTTACCTTGATTTTTTTATACAGTTGCACTTTATAATTTTTGGTCAACACAACAATGAGAAAATAACTGAAAATAAGACAACTTAAGTGTAGTTAAGTAAAATAGTTAATGTAATAGGTATATAGTAAATTATATTATAGGTTTAGTATAATTATTATAAAAAATATCACCTATACTCAACCTGTGATAAAAGTCTTACTTTAAAATACTTAAGGGACTTTATATTTACTGTTTTAACATATGATCAAAGAAACAAGTATAACAGTTTTAATTGTAATAAATAAATTTTTGCAGCCATATAACAACTCCTACATTACTGTAATCAAAATTCTGCATATAAAAAAATCATCTGTTTTTCTTAATTAATGGTACCAAATTTTCAAACTTTTAAGACAAAAATCAACAAATCTAAAAAAAAGTATTTATTTCGACTTCAATTCATTACGAATTTGGTCCGAGATTAGTGACAGACACTGCCAGCTGGAATTTTATATAGGAGGAGGATTTATAACCTATTAAAAAAAATGAACCTAAGTCTTTAAGCTAACTTAAAACGTTTCAGGAGTGGTAAGACCTCAAAAGCATGATTTTAGGATAGCCATAATTTTTTTAGCGACAACACTTCTAGTAGTCATAAAATAGAAAGAAATATATTAAGCACGAGATTTGCTTTAATTGCAAATATTCTTCTTTAAATTATTTTGTTTCATAAAACTTTATCAATCAAAAGCACAAATTACATTATAAATACGAAGTAGTATTAGAAAAAAAGGTTTAAGCATTGCGCAACAGCTTTTAAATAATTTTGTGTTCTATCGTCTTGGGAATTTTCATTGGAAATCATTCTTAAAAGTCGGAAATTATTTATAAACATATTACTATAGTTTAATACATTTCTTTAAAAAAAATTGAGATAATTAAGTAGCAGATTAAGAATAATTAAGCTAATAAACTGAAGCATATATAAATAGATAATATGTTATCTTAGATATTTATAGATAGCATTTTATTTTCCAAACCTGTAAACCATTTAGCAAAAATAAACAAATTTCAAAACTGGTTTTTTGTTATATATATTATATTATCAAACTTAGGGTAGTGCTTAGTCTAAGAGCGCGCGAAAGCAATTGTGTCGTGGCTCCACATATCAGCGGCTGTTAAAATAGTCATACGCCTCATTTTATTTAACTTATTTTCAAGTGAATTTTAAGTGAACAGTATCGTTTTGATTACGGAAAATTTTATATACATTCTCTTTTTTTAAAATAAAAAGAAAAAAACGTTGAATTAAAACTATAGATACTAAGCCATCTGGTTTTTAATTACACTATTAATTTTATGAAATTATATATATATATATATATATATATATATATATATATATATATATATATATATATATATATATATATATATGTATATACATATATATATATATATATATATATATATATATATATATATATATATATATATATATATATATATATATATATATATATATATATATATATGTATATATATATATATATATATATGCATATATATATATATATGTATATATATATATATATATATATATATATATGATTTCATAAAATTAATAGTGTAATTAAAAACCAGATGGCTTAGTATCTATAGTTTTAATTCAACGTTTTTTTCTTTTTATTTTAAAACCCTAATTCTTCTAAAAGTAATAAAAAGATTTAATAAGACAATATTAATCATTGACGTTATTTAATTATTTAGTGTGTCTTTAAAACCTATAAAAATATGTCACAAAACAATAAAAATAATAAATAAAAATGACCCACGAAAAAGAAAAAAATTAATCACAACGTTTTACCAAACAAAATTAATTACAATGTTTTATCAAACAAAAAGCTCGCTATGACAACCCTAGTAATGTAATTCGTTTGAATCACAATTAAAATGTTCACAATTAAATTTTTACTTTGTAAATATCATTCAAAATTTAAAAATATTTTTCTAAATAATAAATATTTTTAAGCAATTAAATTCTGAACAAAACTGTGCAATAAAACTAAAGTAAATTGGAGCCACTAAAAAAATCAATTATCTGAGAAAAAAGAAGAAATAGTTTTGTCTTATCACCGAGATTTTTGGATTAGTGGCGAAAAGGCCCATTGAATTCATTTAAAAAATATCTATATATACCAGGGAAAAAATATAAACGTTTAGGTATTTGACTTTGTTGTCTACATTTTTGTTTAATTCCAGTTTTTGTGTTTCATTTGGAAACTAGACCAAGTTTAGTGATATAATTGCGAGACCCTAAACATAATTTAGCATAACAAGCATAACATAGTAAGTGACCGGGGTTGATATTTGACCGGGGCCGGGTTTGTGACAGGGGTTACATAAACATTTATACGCCCTAAAGTATAATTATTTTATGCAATTATTTTTAAAATTATTTTGTATATATAGGCCTATAATCTAACATTTAATCTCTAATTCATGGGTCTGATTTTTTTATTTCTCCCCAGAATAAAACAGAGCTATTTGCAAAGAAATCTTACTCTAATTTGACTCTGGAATCTAATGAACATACTCTTCCTGCCAGGTAAATAGATTAATCCATAGTTAAACATCCAAATCACTCTTGCTTTCAGTGCTAAAGTTAATTCTTAATTAAACACTTCTACAGTTTGTGCTTAATGCAAGATTTCCATTATAGTGTTAAAAAAGTGTTTCATAAAACTTCAAGTCTTCGTGTAAAGTGGTTCTATTTGCTGACGACTTAACTTTATACTTTTGTCTTAAAAAAAAATCTAATTGATTAGAACAAGCAGCCAATTTTAAATTTGATCTCTCTTCTGTAACAGCCTAATGCTTGCAGTGGCTTCTGGATTTAAATTCCGGACTTAAAATCCACAATTTTTTTCGACAATAAAACTCATTTATTTACTGCAAAAAAATATTGCAATATTGTTGGCAATCCAATATTGACAAAGAATAATCCTCTTTCTCTTAGACAAAGTCTAAAAACACATTGTAAATTTAGTTAGACCTGCTTTATCTACCAAGCTTGAGGCACTCTTCCATTGTTGTAAGGTTTCATTTCTTTCTTTTTTTCTACAAATACAATCATGGTCAATGGTCAAACGAGCTACCATCTCTATAACGATAAACCAAAACTCATTATTGCTTGGCTTTTTATTCAACAAGTTGCATATTTTTATCTGTTCCTTCATGCTATTAAAATTTTTATTAATTCAGTTTTTTTCCTAGTTCATCAAAAAAACTTATAACTCTTACCCATCTTCATTTTTTCCTTTTTTAATACAAATTACAACTTTTAAGTCTTCAGTATTACGTTTCCTTGTATTTTAACTTATTCTCTATTTTAATATAAGGGAGTATGGGTATGAGTGAGCTACTTTTTTTAAAATCGATTATATCAAGGAAACCAAAAGTAGAAAAAGTATAGGATAAGGAGCCTAAGATAGCCTAAAGTACTAGGTTTCTAATAGTAATACATGAAATATCAAAATATCTTCAGATTTTTAATAACTTGAACAATAACGCAGGTGTTGCTACTGGTTCACTCCTACCCATGCATGGGTAAAAGTGAACCAAACAAATGGTAGGAGTGAGTCGTTATCTTTGATTACCAGAAAATTAAAATTAGATATTTTCTTTAACTAATTTATTGAAAATTAAGTAAGTAACAAATACTTTATAATTAAGCATAGCATAATTAAGTAATAATGTAACATAAATAACAATAAATTTAACACAATTTTAAACTCATTTAATTAAATAAACAAACCGTATAAACTACCAGAAAAATAATTTGTTTTCAGTAACAACTGATTTTGACAACAAAACAAAAAACTGTCATGAAAAATGATAATTTCGAAATATTAAGATATAATAAAAGTATATATGTATGTAATAAAAGTAGTATATTAGCGTATAGTATATTGGCAATAAAAATAATATTTAAAAAATACTGATATAGTCAAACACAACCTCAAATTTGTAATTGCAATGCTGTCTTTTACTTGTTTCAGAAAAAGTTGGCCGAGGTAGCAATATTTTGGAAGTTATTGCAGGTGTTCATTTATAGACTCAAGGCATTATAACATATGGTAAAAATAAATGTAA